GGGCGGGGCAGGGCTGCGCACGCGCGGAAGGGCGGGAGGGCGGAGCGCACGCGCGTGGGCAGTGGCGGGGCGGAGGTGGTGGCGCCGGCGCGCCGCCCTCGCGGCTGTCGTGGGCCACGGCTCCCTGGCCCGGCACGAGGGGACGTCCACAATGTGCTCGGGTCTCACCCCACGCTGGGCCTAGGGTCTCGGTCCGTGGGCGGACAGGGGGGCGTCCCCCGGAGGGAGGCGGCTGGGGACCCTCGACGTGCAACCCAGCTGTCAGAAAGGAGACCCCGCCCCAGGCAACGCCAAGCCCCTGGCCAGGGCTCCCTGGGTCCACTGCGGAACACAGAAGTGTGGCTGGGCCGGGGTTCGGGTCCTCCGCCCCCTCGCGAGGTCTCCCAGGGTCCTCAGGTGCTCAAAATCATATCGGCGGGCACCACGGGAAGCTGGGGATACTTCGGGCCGGGCCGTGAGCCGAAGACAGCCCGGTCTCTGCGCCCCCGCGCCCACTCCGGGCTCTCGCGCCCTCTGCCGGGTCCCACGGAGGCCCTGAGAAACACGGGCCAAGGGCATGCAGGTGCTGGCGTGAAGGCGGGAGTGCTCGCGTGAACACGTGTATGTGCTGCTGACAGCAACAGCGGAGGTCAGCGTGGGCAGCGGTGCACTCGCGCGTGTGCATAGAGGTACCCAGGCAAGGTGCTTCTGGTAGCAGGTGAAGAGATCCCCCGACCCCCACCCCTGCATCTGCGGATCCAACCAGCCTGGGGTCCTCTGTGAACCACGGGAGACCCAGAGCAGTGCCTCTCGGGTTGTGGAGGGTACAACCACACGCTGCTCCAACTGGAGGTAAAGGATCTCCGGCGCCTCGCCACCCCCCCCCCCCACCCCGCGTCCCGCGTCCCTCCCAGGAGGACAACTTGAGGCCACTAGAGGGAGTCCCACATTGGCCAGAGTGAGGAACAGGATAGTCCCCAGGACAGGACCCAAGAGTGATGTTGAGGGGGATGCCCCTCCTGGTGTGTCCCCAGCACTTCCCCTGAAGCTGGCTGGAGCTTGGGTTCTGCCATCTGCCTAGTCGTGGCTGTCCTTGGAGGGTGGACCAGCACAGGAGAAAGCCCATCAGTCCACCACTGACTGGCGGGGCCAGACTGAAGAAGGTAAGTCCCTGAGCCCAGGCTGGGGACCACCCCTGGGTCAGCCTGGGCCAAGGGTGCTGACCTCCATTCTCCTGCGCTCTGACAGGGAGAGCAGGCAGGGATCTGTGAGGTTGACCTCCACTTAACAAAGCCTGTGCTTTCTCCCCTTGGGGCTCCGTTTCCCCAGAGGTAATCTGAGGATACTGGGCAGTATGGCCTTGGATGAAGGGTCTGCCATGGCTCTCTGCTGGGTGTCTAGGGAAGGAGGAAGATAGTCCCCACCCGAGAGCTCACTAGTGGCCCAGCATCTCGTGGGCCGGATATAAATGACTGCTGGTCACGTGCATGCAGGGGGTCTGATGCCCCATCCGCGCTTTGGCCCCCCCAAGCCTTTCTTTCTCACCAGACTGCCCAAGTCATAGGACACTGGTAGCTGGAGGCTAGAGACAATACCAGAGTGGATTCTGATGTGGTCAGGCTGGCGCACAGCAAGGAGGGGCGAGTGGGGCTAGGGGTCACTAGGCTGAGAGGGAGGCCCATTATCAAGCAAGCCACAGCCCCTTGGCCCAGCCTCGCCCCCTGCCTCTGCCACTGTGGGACCCTTGCAGGTGTGTGGTGAGAAAACAGCCATTCTGAGGTGCTGTCTAGGCATTCACAGCAAGACAAGCCTGCTCACACTGAGTCCAGACACTTAGCTAAGAACCCAAGCTTAGGGTGTCCACCACAAACGCCTGCCTCGTGTTTCCCTAGGTACCTTTTAAACTGGCCGTTCAGAATTGAGCCTACAAAAAATTAGTGACCCCTGCCCCAGGCACGTTATAAGCAATGGCCGTATGGCACCCTGCAGTCTCTCTTCTGCTCTCTCCTGATCTGGGATAGAGAACTGCCCTCCCCCTGCTCACTGCACCCCTGTTCTAGGATCTGTAAGTAACAAATCTTTTGACTTCCTTTGTGTGAGTGTACTGAAACTGTGCCTTCCCCAAAGCAGCCCTGGGGTTTTCACGTCCCCAGAGTGGGAGCTCAGATGCCAAGTTACCTGCGGACTCCGTGTGGGTGGCCTGTGCACCCTAACGTAGACAGTCATAAACTGCACATGTTTATTTAAGAGAGAGCGTGTGCGCAAGTGAGTGAGGAGAGAGAGGGAATCCCACGAGGGGCAGAGAGAAGCGGGGCTCATGCTCACCCAAGGTGGGGCCCAAACTCACAACCTATGAGATCATGACCTGAGCCAAAGTCAGATGCTTAACCTACTGGGCCACCCAGGCGCCCTAAGCTGCATGTTACTGACACACGACCTCCGGTTTCCAGCCCTTGCTGCCCTGGGAGGGTTTTAGAGGAGGGGGGCATGTTTGGAGAAACACAGTCCTCTTCCTCCTGCAGCCCCCTCCCCTCCCCCTCACAAGTGTCCTACCTTTGGTGCCCACTCCTGCTTCCCCCCCCCTTTACCCTCACACATCGAATCCCATTTTGGCCTCTGCTTTCTCAGAGGGCTGTCCCCTGAGCGCATCCTGGCTCTCCTCCTCCGTGTCCAAATAAACCCTCAGAAGAGAACTGAAATTCCTTCACGACCGACCAGGAATAGTGCCATAGGATTGACCTTGATGTGGCTCTTCCCAGGGTACCTGGACTCAGACCTTCCACTCAAAGAAATGGGCAGTGACAGCAGGGCTTCAGATGAAGGAAAGCATTTTGAGGTTCCCAAAGCCCAGACTCTGCCCCCGGGACATAAAGCAGGAGCCACAGAGGCATGCATACCCGGGCCGAGTCTAAAAATCATGTGGTCTTTATTGTGATGATGGCAGTTTCCTAGGAGGAGCAAACGTGGGGTGTTGGGAGTGGCAACACAAGCCACTCTAGAACCATCTTTACCCTTCCCCTGTCCTCAGCCAAAACAGGCCGAAGGAGGTCCCAGCCCCAGACTCCAGCCCAGGGAGGGGCTATGGGAGTGGGGTCAGGGTCAAAAGTCACACGGAGCCCAGTGACTGTCAAGGCAATTTGGGCGGAAGGCAGAGAAGGGGCCCCTGCGCAGCCCCAAGTACCCCAACACAGAGCAGAGGGGAATTAGCCTGGGGCCTGGAGTGTGCAATCCTCAGATCCCAGCCTTAGGGTCCCCCTAGAAAGGGGTGAAGGAGGGGTGGGGGTGCTAGTCCTGAGGCTGATCTGAGCACCGAGCCCCAGCCCACAGCGCCAGAGGCCAGGAGAGCCCAAAGGGTTGGTGAACATCAGTGGGGTCTGGGCTGTGCCTGGGGGCGGGGGGGGGGGGGGGGGCAGGACCACCAGTGGGTGTGGGAGCCAATAGGCACCTGAGGGCTGCTGCATGGAGCAGAGTCCCAGAGAGCCCCCTGCTGCTTGTGGGGATTAGGACAGCTCCTGGGAGAGGAGTCCGGAGGCAGCCTTGCTCTGTGCCAGTCGAGGCCAAGTTCCAGAACAGCGGGACCAGCCGCTGAAGGGTGTAGGGTGAGCCACATGAGGGTCAGGAGGTCATCCTCCAAGACAGGAGTCGGCAGGGCTGCTGGCCCAGCCAGGAGCCCAGGGTCACCTTATTTGCAGTACTCCTTCCTGAACTCTGGAAGCCAAGGAGGACAGGTGGGGTAAACACAAGGCAGACATCCAGCAGGACCGCCCAGGGACTCCTGCCCCCCCCCCCGGGGGGGGGGTGTTGGCTAGTGAGCGTGGGTGAGGTGAGGTACCAGCCCCGCCCTCCTAGCCACTCACCTTTGTCCAAGTCAATGTACTTGGCGGGCAGTGGGCTGTGGGCCAGCTCAGCCCTCTCCTTCAGGATGTTGTTTTTGTAATCTGGTGTAGGCAAAGAGCAGGCTGAGCCTCCTCGCCCCGCCCCCCGCGGGGCTGTGCTTCCCCTAGCCCAGGCCTGGAGCCACAGTCGGTCTTGGTTCTGGGGCCCCCCTCACCTAGTTGGATATCCTCACTCCTGTAAAGAGCCTGGTCTCCTGTGGCCACAGCAAACTCTGCCATGTTCACATCCTTCCTGGAGGTGCGAGGGTGGTGGGTGGTTAGAGCAGGCGGTGGGGTGGAGGGGGGGCGGGGTTCTGGTCCCCAGGAGAGCCTGGAGGGGACACTCACCCCTTTGGCTTCCCTGACTTCTTGTCCGAGTATTCGTAGCCTGGGGAGGGAGACTGGAGTTGGGTGCCGTCTCGCCCCCTCCCCAGCTCCCTATGCCCTGAGGGGCGTTCCCATCCCCACCGCACCCCACATCCCGCTTCTGGTCGGGAAAGGCTTGCTGGCTCTGGCCTCACCCCTGCGCCGGAGAGCCCCAGCTCACCTCCGCGGCGGCGCTGGCGGGTGGCCAGGATGACGGCGATGAACAGCAGAATGAAGAGGAGCAGCGTGGCCAGCACGTAGCCCAGCTGCTGGAAGAAGTGGGCCCGGCCCTCGGGGACGATGACGTTGATGACGCTGCGGCCGCGCACCAGCGTGGGATCTGCACAGGGCCGTACGGGGAAGGCGTCAGGGAGCGCGCGGCATGACCCGCCGAGCGTGCACCGGGTCCGGGTCCCGGGAAGGGACAGCCGGCCGCGGCCCACGGGGGGGCGGGGGGGGGGGGGGCCCGGCCCCCCCCCCCGGGGCCCGGGGGGGGGGGGGGGGGGGGCCCCCCTCGCCAGACACCCAGGGCCCGGGGTTGGGGCGGGGAGGGGCCACGCGGCACCTGGGCCAGGGGCACCGCTGTGGCTGGAACCGTTGCCCGGCGAGTCCCGCGGGGGCGGCTCAGCGACCGGCTCGGTGACCGTCAGGTGGAAGATGCGGCGCTCGTGCAGGCCGCAGTAGTGGTGGTGCAGGTGGCAGGAGTAGGTGCCCTCGTCGGCGGGCTCCAACGGCTCGATGCGCAGCGAGAAGTCGCCGCGCGCGAAGGCGTCCGCCCCCACCGCCACGCGGTCGCGCAGGAAGGGCGGCGCGTAGGCGCGGCGCTCACCCGAGGCGTACAGGTCCAGCAGGCGGTCGGCGCGGTCGTGCGGCACCCCGGGCGGCTGCCGGTCCCAGTGCACCACCTGCTGCGCCTCCTCCAGGTGCCGGTCGGTCCACACGTGCGCCCGGTTCACGCAGGTCAGCAGCGCGGGCGCGCCGCGCTCCACCACCAGCACCTCCTTCTCGCCGTCCCAGTGCGCGCCGGCCGCCCGGGCTGGGGGTGCAGGTGCGGGTCAGCGCGCGCGGGCGGGGAGGGGGCCGGCGGGGGGGCGCGGGCGGGGGCGGGCGCACTCACGGTTGTCCGTGACCTGGAGGCGTATGGCCAGGGTCTCGTACAGGTGGCAGTAATGGTGGTGCAGGTTGCAGGTGTACAGCCCCTCGTCGGCCTCCTCCACCGCTGCGGACCCGAGAGAAAACCCAGCGGTGAGGTGCGCGGCCGGCCCGCGGCCCCTGCGGCCCCCGCCGCGCGCCCCAGGCTCCTTACCGCGGATGAGCAGCGAGAAATTGCCGTCGTGGAAGGCGGAGAGCGGCAGCAGGAGGCGGCCGCGGTCGCGCGGCTCGTACACGCGCTGCTCGCCCGCGGAGTACATGTCTACGAGCCGGCGGGCGGGGCCGCCGCCCGGGCCGCCGCTGAGGTCCCAGTGGACCACGCGCTGGCGGTCGTGCAGCCGGTCCTGGGTCCACACCATTCTCGGGCTCTGGCAGCGCAGCACCGCCAGGGCGCCGGCCGCCCAGCTCACGGTGGACTCGGACACCACGGAGCTGGCGGCTGGCGCGGGCCCTGAGGGCACTGGTGGGGAGGAGGAGTCAGGGGGAGGGAAGGACCCGAGGGGATGGTATAGGGTGGGTCTGGCACGAGGGAGGGGGCGGTCACTAACCTGAGGACAGAAGCACAGCAGAGCCTAGAAGAAGAGGAGAGTCACACTGGGGGAGGGGGAGCGCAACCTGAACCTTTACACCCCCCCCACCCCCCACCCCCTGTCATCCTCCCGGCCCAGGGCCGTCACACTTGGATCCCTGCGTCCCTCTATAGTCCCTGCCAGGTGGGTGTTAATGAACACCTGCCTCACAGGTGGGGATAAAGTCAGGAGAGCCAGGCCAAGTGGGCGGAGGGGGGTCTCCTTTAGCCCCGCATGACGGAGGCACCCCTCCCACGGCCCCCCCACCCAGTCCTCACAGCCACCTCCCTGGGCTGCGGCACAGCACTTGCCCCTCTGGGGCTGGACGGTGGGGCCGGCTCTGGAGTGTGTGTGTGTGTGTGTGTGTGTGTGTGTGTGTGTGACCAACAGCCCCCCACAGGAATGGTGGCCACTGTCACCATCACTGCAGCAAGGCCCCCAGAGCACCAAAGCCTGATACCCAAGCTGGTTAGGGGCGGGGGGAGGGGGCTCCTGCACGTTCATATCCCACGTGGTAGGTGCACCTGCCGAGGGCCATGCCACACGAGCCCTTGAGGGTTCTCAGACAGCTGGGAGCCCTGCCCCGCACCCAGTTCTCAGGGTCGGAGCCCCCTCAGCCTTTCCGAAGGGCAGAGGTCCAAAGCACGAGTGGCTGGACCGTCCGCACCCCACCAGCAAGTTCCTGCTCCAGAGATGGGCTGAGCGCCCGGGACCAGGAGGAATGTGCCGGGTCAGCAGGCCAGCCCAGGAGGCGGGCTCAGGGGGCCTGGGAGCCAGGGGGGGGTCTGGAACAGACCCTGTGAGCCGCACCACTCCCAGGCCCCCTAAATCCCCAACGTACTCCTTTTCTGGCCACTGGGAGAAGCGCAGACCTGAGGAGCTTCCTGGAAGAGTGGGGTGCAGGAGGGACCCCAGCGAGAGGCGCCCACCGCCTCAGCCTCTGGCTCCCTAATCCGTGTGAGGGAAAGTTCTGGTGGAGATCCAACATAAATCCTCACACCCTCCTGGGTCCTGGGGGGCCCTTATCCTGGCGAGCTACTCCCTCGAGGCCCCCCAGACCAGCCCCTTCCCGGCAGGGTGGGAATGTCCCACCCCTCTGCACTCAAGCTCAGACCGGAGGCTTTGCCCAGAATGGAAACTCCCGAAGACCCGCCTGTGCTCCCACTCCGGACCCTCACCCACCCCGCACTCACTCTGCAGAAGCAACAGTTCCCAGAGCAAGACTTGAGACCGCAGCTCCATGGCGCCCGCCTGGCCCGCCTGCCTGGCTTTGTCTCACTTCTGCTCCAACTCTCCAGAAAAACAGCCCGGCCCCCTCCCCCTCCTTAGCACCCGCCATGACATCACGGAGCCCTGGGCCGGGTCGACAGTCTGCAGACCGCCCCCTCTGGCTCTAGCTGGCCCCTAGTCTTCCCCGAATCCTGGTCGGGCCTGGTGGGGAGGGGTAGGAGCGTGGTCACTGTGTCCGACAAGGTGAGGGGAATCTGAGCAGCCATCCGGCCTGGGGATGGCTCAGGCCCTGGGAGGATGGGGGGGCGGTAGCCCGGCCCTTAGAGGGGCAGGAGGGCTGAGGGCATGGCCCTAATGCTGTGGGGGCGGCTGTGACATAAGAGGCCCTTCTGGGGCTGCTGCAGAGCCGGGGTTCTGGGGCGTACTTCACCTCCCTTCCACCTCTGTAGGCAGACCCTGGCCCAGGAGGTTCCCCTACGTGGACAGCCTGGCCGTCCCCTCCGCGCCTGCTGTGTCGTTCCAGGCGTCCTGGGGCTTGGGGACCCCCAAGGAGCCCCAGCTACCAGACCCACAGCTCTTCCCCTTAGCCTCCCGGGGGGAGGGGGCGCTGCACATATTCACCCGTAAACCGAAGAGAACAGCAACACCAGCCCAGGAGCTTCAGGACAGCACAGTGGGCCCCGCTCTTGGTCAGGCCTCTCTCCCACCCAGAGGAGCCTGCCAGGGCATGAGGGTGGGGACCCTGAGCACCGAGCGCCCAGCGTTTGAGCAGCCCCTCCCCCCTGGCCTGGACACCCCCTGCCGCCCCCCCCCCATCTGCCCACCATCATGGGCAGATCTTGGTGTCCCTGAAACCAAACCCTGGCGAAGATGCTCCCTGCAGCACCTCCTCCTTGCCCGGGGGGGGGGGGGGGAGGGCTGCTGGGAGCCTGCCCCCCGGAAAGCACAAATTTGAAGCTCTGGGAAAAATTACCAAGTCACGTAAACAAATGCAAAATAACAGAGCACACACTGTGTACCAAACCCACTCTTTCTAGTTAAGCAAACCTCAGAAAGGAAAAAAAGGAAGAAAAAATCCAAACAACCGCAAAAACTCCACAGTGCATTTTTTAAACTGCCCATTTGAGTAGAATTATGGTCACGGGCATCAGTTCCTGGTGGCTGGCATCTCACCCTTGAACCCTGTCCTGGTCCCCAAGTCCTCAGAGTAGCAAGAAACCCAGCCCAACCAGACTCTTAGGCTCCGGGTCAGCTGGGGCGACTGCCACTGCCACGGAGGGAGTGAGGGCCACGACAAGGGGGACCAGCCACGAGGGTGTGAAGAGGGCCCCCCCAACCCAGACCTAATGAACCCATTTCCTCAGCAAGACCCAGGCCCTGGGGGGGGGGGGGGGGGGGTTGGAGCCCCTTTTCCAAACTGGAATCAGAGCTTGTCCTGGCCCCAGCCCCTCCCTGGGCCTTTCATTCTGGAAAAACAAGCCCGCCTGGCTGGCCTTGAGGCCTGGCCTCTCCTCCTGTTTTTTTAACTGGTCTATATTAGCTGGTGACCTCCCTTCTCTGGGCCCCGCCCATGTCTCTCCATCTCTGTCCCCCATTCCCGCCTCTGTCTGCCGGGCTGCCTCTCCCCCACGGAGGGAAGATGTCCAGGCAGTGCTGGAGGGAGACAGAAATGGCCCAGGGCTGGTCCCTCTGTCTGGGAGGGGACAAGGGGGTAGGGGGCAGCTCCAGCCCTGAGCCGGGAGCCTGTGGGCGCCCTCCTGTTCCCAACAGGTTCCCTGGCCTCAGGCCCCGCACACTGAGGTCCAGCGGGGCCCTCGAGGTCCGGACTCAGCCCTCAGCTCGGCCCAAGTGTAGAAGTCTGAGGGGGCCGCCCCTGGGGGGAAGCTGACCCCCCCCCCCACGCACCCTGGGCAAGAAGGGACAGAGGCAGTGGAGGGCTGCAAACCCCTTTCCCTGCCCTCTCTGCTTGAGGGCAGCAAAACCAAAGTGAGCGGCAAAGGGCCGCTGCCCACCCCTCCGCCCCCGCTCTTGGCAGGAAACAGCCACAGATGAGAGCAGAGAGCCAGCAGGCCACGTGCCCCTCCCCCGGCAGAGGCTTGAGGCCTCCTGCTCCTTCACGAGTGCCTGTGGGTTGTTCATTTCCCGGTGTCGCCCGCACTCCGTTTTCCCTCGGGAAGGGAACCCACCAGGACAAAACAAACCCACGGACATCACCTTGGTCCCACCCTGAACTCTGGCCAATCCCCCAGCCAGCCCAGAGGCCCAGACCCACCACCCCTCTCCTCGGAGGCGTGGCTGGACGAGGCCGGGGTCAGTCACTCAGCCTGACAGACTCAGCTCCTGCCTCTTCCTCCCGAGGACTCAGACATTCCAGGCAGCCAGGCTCACTGGGAGGAGAAACCACAGGCACTCAGAGACGCCACCAGCCACAACCAGACACAGAGACACGTGCTCACACCCACCAATAATGTCACGCAACAAATATTTGCTGAGCGCCTACTGTGTGCCAGGGCGCTGCGAGTTGCTGGAGGGAGGCAGACGGACGGCAGGTCCGCCCACTGACAAATAAGGTTGTTTTCATCTCTGGGAGAAGTGCTGTCTGGAGACGAAAGCGGGGCAGGGTCTTCCTCCGTGGGACTGACCGGGATGGCCTCTGATGGAGGGACACCCACAGGTAAATGTCCTTCCAGGCGGGCGGCGCCTGGGGAACCACCTCCCAGGGGAGAGAGCAGCGCCTCGCACAGGGAGGTCCGTGAGGGCTGCAGTCTGGCTCTCGTGGGGGCGGCCCGCAGGGTCTAAGTGAGGAGGGTGTGGTCCAGACGGCTCAGGGCTGGGAGGATTGACGTGAACACACAAGCAAAACAGCCCTGCCGGGGCTAGGTGGTGTGCCGAGCTGTGAGGTTCGGTCCCCCCGTGTCCTGTCTCCCTCAGCGTGGGCAGGAGCGGCGACAAGGCTGGAAGAGTCCTTTGCACCCACGTGACAACATGCTGGGATGTCACTGTCTGCCGGTCGCCATCACGGCCGGCCGTCGCGTGAAAGGGCCCTTGGAGGGGACCGCGGGGCTGCCCCCAGGCAACCAGCCGAGAAGAAAATGGACCTCAGGCCTGCAGCGCCCCCGGAATGAGCGCGGGGGAGGACGCCGAGGGCCCAGAAGCCACGTATCCGGGCGTGTGGGCCATGGGAGCTGTGTGACGAGTCTCCCGTGCCACGCCGCTAACCTGTGGCTGTGCGCGGTACAGCACTGGGCGGCCAAGGCAGCGGGCTCCCGGCACAGAGAGGGGGCAGCACGAGGCACAAGTTTCACAAGGAAAAGCAACTGGTGTCCAGTCTGGGACTGGCCGCTGGCCGCTGGCCTCAGGGATGGTGCAGGCAGACCCCAAGGCTGCTCGGGAGCTGCGTCCACATGTGAGCGACACAAGCTCTCCCAACGCCACGGCCAGCCTCTGCCGGTTCTGACCAGCTCCGGGGAGGGGCCGCTTGCATGTGTGCTGGTCCCTCCCCCCGAGGCGCAGCGGTTTGCCACACGGTCACGTCTCACGCCACGAGGGAGGCAGTAGACTCGCACAGCCTGGGCGCGTCCCTCAGGAGAGCCGGTGACCCCGAGGAACAGACCGTGAGCTGCCTTCTCGTGAGGACCGCAGGCCGGATGGCCCGCCAAGACGGGGCTGGGCCATCGTCCAGGCATCGAGACACCGTGATCTGAAAATATAGACAAACTATGGAAATACAGAAACCTGGCTTCAGGGACCAGCCAACGCTTTCGTCCCGAGAAAATGTCAAGCGACCAGGACCACAGATTTAACTAGTCACGGTCGGCCCCCCGATCAGCGGTTTCCTGGCGTGGCATCGTTAGTGGGGTGCTGTCCTCGCTTGGCTTCCTCGGTCTGTGGCGGCCCTGCCAACCAGCCGATGATGCGCAGGAGCCTATTTATTCTATGATTTGTAAGCCTCGGGCTCCTGGGCCACGTCCGTAAACGGCGTCTCCTGTCGTGCTGGGATCGTTTCTGTACTGTCCTCACAGGCCATCAGTTTTGAAGCCAGGAACCAAGAACCGATGATCCGGTTCTAGCGGATTCCGCCTGCGGCGCCTCTGACTGTGGGGGTGACCTCCGCCTGCGAGATCCCCATGTCCCCCCCACATCTCCAGCGAGCCGGGAAGGGACGCTCTGTCCTTGGGGATGGCTGGGCGGGCAGGCTGCGGAGCGGCCTCCGGGCCAGCGTCCTGAGAGGCCCCACGGAGCGTTGCTCCCGCACGCAGTGCGTGTCCCGGCTCCTCGAGGACATGGTTGCTTCCCGTGCCCAACCGAGGGCAATAAATCTGCCTTTAAATGGGACATGGCCGCCATCATCCCGTCCCCCAGGACAGGCCGTGGGAGCACGCACGCGAGCCCCGTGCACATCTCCACTCTGCACTGGGTGTCGGGCTCTCCCGTGTGTCCGGCTGGGCTGGGTGGGCCGGTGGCGTCATGCCCACGACGCACGGTCCCTCGGCCATCCTGAAGCCTTGACTTGACCACAGCGATCTTCCTGGAGTGCTCTCAACAGGGACACCGGCGCCCGCCTCCCTCCGCATTGCCCGCCGTGGGATCCGCAGCCTGGGGGGCTCCCATCACTGCGTGTGCCCAGCACCCCGACCTGCACCCACAGCCGGGGCCGCCGCTCACTCTGCTTCATCATGGGGACCTGGGACTAAGCTGAATGTGTTCCCAGGCCGTCTGCTGTGAGCTTCGGTGGGAACCAGCCTGACACTGAAAGGAGAGGCCCCAAAGAGGCTGAGTCTGGATGAGAGGGATGCTCTTCCTCATCCAGAGAGGAAGCAACTGGTGCGGAGGGGCCCCGGAGCCCTGATGTGGCCCCCGGGGACAGCGTGGCACGTGTCCCCAGCTGTGGTCATATGACAGCTTGTCCAAGGAGTCTGTTTCCTACGGCATCGCCAGCCAAGAGTCCCTGGAACAGCCTGTCATAAATGGGCCCTCTTGATCTTTCTTGCAGAAAAATCCGTGTCGGATTTGCAGTTGGCAGCAGGGAAGTATGAGGAGAGCAGGAAGCATCGCAGCTGACGGGGCGGCCGGCGCATCCAAAGGTCAGAGAGCGGAGCCCGTCTTCAGCTGTAACATACCTTCCAAGGATTTGATCAACAATCACTCTGAGAGCAAGAACCGATGACGAGCTTGGAGGGCACGAGAAACTGCCAGGGGCTTTCTGCTCACCTCACGGGGTCCTGATTGTCACTGACGGGCAAGGGCACCGAAACACGCTTACCGAGCGGGTCCTACCCGTGGGCGTGAACATGCGACGTTGTTCAAACGTAGCAATAATGATGGCATTCCTTTTTTTTTTTTTAATCTATTTATTTATTTTTATTTTTTTTTTAATGTTTTATTTATTTTTGAGAAAGAGAAAGAGCATGAGCAGGGGAGGGGCAGCGAGAGAGAGACACAGAATCCGAAGCAGGCTCCAGGCTCTGAGCTGTCGGTGCAGAGCCTGACGCAGGGCTCGAACCCACGAACCGTGAGATCATGACCTGAGCCCAAGTCGGACACTTAACCGACGGAGCCGCCCAGGCGCCCCATTTTCTCTTTATTATGTACACACTTTCTCAGTTTAACAACATTCCTTTACCTTTGTGTGAGTGCACGTACACAAACATTTATATCGTAGATAACATATTTAAACTGTCAGCTTCAGGTTATCTGCACTCAAGTGCGTATGCAACACAGCACAAATACCACATTGACTTTACCATCCAAAGAACACATAATGCGAAAAGAACAAATGTTTTTATATCGTGATCACTATTTCTGTAGTCTCGATCTTTGGGAATTCCAATATATATCCAGATATTTCTTATAGCCTTTGATGCATAACAAACCACCTTAAAACTACAACATGAGGCTGAGTCGGGGGCCCAGGGGATTTCTTAAGAGCAAGAGAGCCCTGCTGTACGTTACCGTGATGGTGCATAAGTGACACTGTGTGTTTACCGAAACCCAAGGAACCACACAGTTCTCAGTGAACCTCAAGACAGACACATTTTTAAAAACTCGTTTAGGAAGTTGGGAGAATCAGAAAGTGACAGAAACAAGCAAGCAAAGGACATTAGGAGTGAAAGGAGCTCAGTGGAGGGGGAGGGGAGGAGGTGGGGGAGGGGAGGGGGAGGAGAGCAGAGGGGGAGGGGAGGGGAGGGACTGGGGGTGGGCAGCACTGGCCTAAGTTAAGGTAAGAGTCTGCACTACCACACGAGAGGAAGTGCACACAGCCCGCCCTCGAGCCGACAGAGCTGTCCCCTGCGGGTTAGGGTCAGGGTTACCCGTTCCGATGTGTACAATGAGGCAAGCGGGTGGTGGCGGCCAGTGGCGGCCGGGTCCGTCACTACTTGGGGGTTAAGGAAGGGGAGGAGGCTACAGTGAGCCGTGTGGCGGTGGATTACTGCCGGGAGACGCCCGTATCGGCTCGTGTCCCGAGCGGTGTGCACACAGGTGCATGTGTGAAGCACAGAGCTGTGTCTACACGTGGGTCAGTACACATACTCGCATTTTCTAGCTCTGCATTCGGGAGGCAGCAAGCCCACCCCTGAGATCCTGGTCCCTAAGACCATTTTGCAACAAAGGAATCGGGGTTCCTTGAAGAAGGGGCTTATTTTAGGACTGGGGGAGGAAATACACGAGACAAGCCTGGAGAACCCGCGGTGCCAAAAAGCAAGCAAGTGCTACCGGACAACCAAGAATGATGGGTGCGTCAAAGGGCACGGGAGCCAAAGCGGGGACCGGTGTGGCAAGAAAGTCAGTCAAGCTTGTTGCATCGTCATCCAAATAGAAAGACAACATCCCCGCGTCCATGCTGATTTTTTTTTTAATTTTTTTTTTAACGTTTATTTATTTTTGAGACAGAGAGAGACAGAGCATGAACGGGGGAGGGGCGGAGAGAGAGGGAGACACAGAATCCGAAGCGGGCTCCAGGCTCCGAGCTGTCAGCCCAGAGCCCGACGCGGGCCTGAACTCACGGACCGTGAGATCATGACCCGAGCCGAAGTCGGCCGCTTAACTGACCGAGCCACCCAGGCGCCCCCATGCTGATTAAATAAAGGCAGGCAAGTCCCAGATCATTTATGCGGCCAAAGCAGAAAGGAGCTTGCAGGGGCCCAGCCCTCACCACACGGCGTGGTGCGGGAGGGATCTGGCCTGTGTCCGTGATCTTCTGCTCACGATTCTGCGGGTCAAGAACTCCGGCAGGACAGCTTGTCTGCCCCACGTGGCGCTGGGTGGGATGGTGCGACCGGGGCTGGAGGGTCCAGACGGCTTCATTCTGGTACCTGGGGCCTCAGAGGGGGCATCGGCTGGATCTTCTCTCCACGGGGCCCCGTCTCTCTCTACGTGGCCCTCCGTCCATGGGGCCCCTTCTCTCCGCTCACCTGGTTCTCAGCAACCTAGCCCAGGCCTCCTTCCACTGACGGAAGCTGCCGGGCCCCCAAGGCCCAAGCTCGGCAGCTTCCACGCTGGGGCCAGAGCAGGTCACGCGGAGGGAGGCAGACGCCACTTTCAGTAGAACGAGCAGCAGAGTCACGATGCCCAGCAGCATGTGTGCAGGGGAGGGGACACTGTTGTGACATCGTCAAAGATAATATACCACGGGACGTGAGAGATACGTGGCATAATGAAGTGCAAATAATTCAGAGCACTGGCGTTTACAAGACACGTTTAATGATAGAGAGCACTTATTTTCATAGGATATAAACATACATATGTACGTTTACATGACCTTAAATAAATAACAAGTTTTATTTATTTTGAGAAAGAGAGAGAGAGAGAGAGAGCAGGGGAGGGGCAAAGAGAGAGACACACACAGAATCCGAAGCAGGTTCCAGGCTCCAAGCTGTCAGCACAGAGCCCAACTCAGGGCTCGAACTCACAGACCTTGAGACCATGACCTGAGCCGAAGTTGGCCACTTAAACCAACTGAGCCACCCAGGCACCCCCCGGACATACTTATAATGAAAATTATTTGGGGGGGGCCTGGGTGGCTCAGTCGGCTAAGCGTCCGACTCCTGATTTCAGCTCAGGTCATGACCTCGCGGGTTTGTGAGTTTGAGCCCTGCATCGGGCTCTGCGCTGATAACGGGGAGCCTGCTTGGGATTCTGTGTCCCCGCTCTCTCTGCCCCTCCTTCACTCTCTCTCTCTCAAAATAAAAAAAAAAAAAAAATCTCAAAGCCACCAATTTGAAGTTATGACAAAAAATACCAAAAGAATCATCTAAGGGGCTACAGTGGCCTCCGGGCAGATGGTGTGGTAGTTTCCATAAGCACCGTTGAACTATTGAACTACTCAGGCACATACGAGCATAACCTCCGTAAAAATATTTTAAAATTAAATTTTAGAGTCAGGCAGACCGGCAGCTGGGTCATGGATGCTTCTTCACCACCTGTAGGCAAGTTGACCCCTGTACTTGGGTCCTCGGAAAACAGGCGCATCACGGGTCTGCTGTGAAAGGAAGTCACTCCCGTCAAGAACCAGCACAACACCTGTGGTGCAGGGAATCCACTCGCGTGCCAATTCTTACCACTCGTTTTTATGTATTTTTACCTTTCTTAACGTTTTGTTAGAGAGAGAGAGAGAAGGAGGGAGGGAGCACAATCGGGGGAGGGGCAGAGAGCGAAGGAGAAAGAATTCAAAGCAGACTCCACACGGTCAGCACAAAGCCATTCGTGGGGCCCAAACCCACGAACCGTGAGATCGTGACTTGAGGCAAAGTCAGACACTCAACCGACTAAGTCACCCAGGCGCCCCCTACTAATTTTTAAAAAAACATGATCCCTACTGTATGATCTATCTCCCACACACCCTCAGAAGGACGTGGTCCAGGAGAAGGGAGGAAACCTGGAAAGAGGGGAACGTGGCGTCCCCGAAGGGGTCCCAGACGGAGGCGCCAGGGGGTGGCTCCATGTGAACAATTCCTTGAGGGCTTTGGGCCAAACTGAGACTTTAGGTAAATAGAAAAACACGCAAAAACAAAACCGGACAAGAAATAGCGGCACGAGAAAGGACACGTGATCTTGCCGAGTCGAGGGGCCGCGGGAGTGCTGGGAGGCTGGGTCGCAGCCGCACCGGGAGGCGCAGGAATGCAGGGCCGTGGGTGCCCTTCCGTGATGGCCTCAGGGCGGGTGAGGCAGTGGGCGCCGCTTTGTCCTCAGCTTGGTACAACAGCTTCACCCGCAGCTACAATCTTACTGGGCTGTGGGTGTTGGGGTGGCCGTGACACAGGGCGGAGCAGCCAGCGGGACAGAGTTAATTCTTTTTTTTTTTTCCAACGTTTATTTATTTTTGGGACAGAGAGAGACAGAGCATGAACGGGGGAGGGGCAGAGAGAGAGGGAGACACAGAATCGGAAACAGGCTCCAGGCTCTGAGCCATCAGCCCAGAGCCCGACGCGGGGCTCGAACTCACGGACCGAGAGATCGTGACCTGGCTGAAGTCGGACGCTTAACCGACTGTGCCACCCAGATGCCCCTAGAGTTAATTCTTCAAGGGAGGAGAGGGGCCGGACATCAAGCGAAATGTTGGCTCCGAGCTTCTGTAGGGCTGGGTCTTTTAAGGGGTTTTAAGGGTGTGAGAAGGTTGCCTGGCTGCGCCCTTGGGGTGTGTGTGGAGGGGGCTGACTCTGGTCCAGAGGACAGCAAGAGATGGCAGTTTTCTCCAGGGGCTGTGTCCTGGGCAGTGTCCTTCTCCAGGGGCTCTGTCCTGGGCGGTGTCCTTCTCCGGGGGCTGTGTCCTGGGCGGTGTCCTTCTCCAGGGTCTATGTCCTGTGCTATGTCTTCCAGGGGCTGTCCTGGGCGGTGTCCTTCTCCGGGGGCTGTGTCCTGGGCAGTGTCCTTCTCCAGGGTCTATGTCCTGTGCTATGTCTTCCAGGGGCTCTGTCCTGGGCTGTGTCCAAGATGTGGGCTGTGGCCCAGCAGGAGAAAAATATGTTTTGCAGGGGCGCCTGGGTGGCTCAGTTGGTTGATCATCTGACTCTTTTTTTTTTTTTTTTTAATTTTTTTTTTTCCAACGTTTATTTATTTTTGGGATAGAGAGAGACAGAGCATGGACGGGGGAGGGGCAGAGAGAGAGGGAGACACAGAATCGGAAACAGGCTCCAGTCTCTGAGCCATCAGCCCAGAGCCTGACGCGGGGCTCGAACTCACGGACCGCGAGATCGTGACCCCGCTGAAGTCGGACGCTTAACCGACTGCACCACCCAGGCGCCCCTTGATCATCTGACTCTTGATTTCGACTCAGGTCATGATCCCAGGGTCGTGGGGACTGAGCCCCACACTGGGCTCCATGCCAAGCGTGGAGCCTGCTTAAGATTCTCTCCCCCGCCCCCCCCCCCCCGCCTCTGCCCCTCTCAACAGCTCTCTCTCTCAAATAAAATTAAAACAAAAATGTTTTGTAGTTGGGGTCTGTTTTCTGAGAACGCAGAGCATCGCGACCTGGAGAAACCCAGTTAGGGCCAAGTGCAGACAACCATCAGTTTTGTCTGTAAGCTTGACTGGGGAGGGGGCTTTGAATAGACCCCTTTCAGCTGAAAAGCTAAAGAATAAAATTCAACTGTAAATACAAAATAATAAAACCAACAAGACCGGTCAACGGGAATGGGGTCCTCTTGGAGAAGGGGAGGGGCCCAGAGCCCATCCGACCCGGCCCCCCCTGGTCTGGGCGCAGAGGACCCAGTGGTTACCTGACCCCCCTCAGCTGGCACAGGTGGTGGACAGGAGGCCCCCGTCCATGAGACGGTCTTGCTGGCCTCGGGGACCCCCTTCCACCCGCAGCAGACCTTGGGCTGCTGGGCCCTGCTTGTCCTGCACCGCACGTCATCTGCGGCAGGGTGAGGCCAGCCTGGGGGGCAAGGATGTGGGGCGCGGAGTGCCGGGTCCCAGGGCACTCACCCGTGTCCAGCTGTAGCTGACCCCTGTGTTCCCGAATCTGCCGGGCCGACGCACCCTCCACAAGATGCAGGCATTATGAATGCCACCTGGTGACCCCGCTCGACCCCGGTCTTGGCCACGTTCTAGAGGTTGCACCCGGCCTGAGGCCTCCCCTCCCCTCCCCTCAGCCTCGGCCTCAGGGAGCCCTGACAGCCCTGTGGCTGCCCCCCACGCTCCCAGAGCCACTCCCCTGCCCGTGGCTCATCTGGGAGTCGTGTTCAGGGCTTCCTTCCCCTGCACATCCGGGAGTGGTCCTCAACACACGCAGGCATAGAGGCCCCCCTCACCCTCCGAGAAACCCAAGCCTCAGGATGCTGCTCGGACTCCACCCCCGGAAGTGGCCAAGTCCCAGCCTCCCTGGACTCTAGGCCCGGCTCTAGCATTTAGCCCTTGTGTGACCCAATGCCCTGGGGCAGTTTCCTCATTCAAATGGCCCTGTGAGGCTGAGGCCAGCAGTGGACAGAATTTGATGGGGGCACGGGCTGGCCTCTGGGCGCCAAGCCGGGTGGTGGGAGTTGTCACCCTCTGGCCCCCACCTGAGGCCAACTCCACACCCAGGTCTGGACTCCTTGGCCCCATCCCAGGGGCCATAGCTCCAGAACCCTTTACGAGCTTTTCCCAAAACTCGGCCCCCCAGAGTAATGTTCCTTCCCACCCCTGTCCACCTGGGTTCCAGAGACCTTCCTAGCAAGCTCAGCTGACCATAGCCAGGCCAGGGAACAGGCCTCGCTCTCAGCCTGTCACCCTCACCAGTCTGCATACTCCTCGTGGACAGCGGGGAGTACAGCCATTCCCAGCTCAGGGCCCCTGCACGTACGCACGCTGTCTCCTGTGCATCTGCTGTGAACGGGTCACAACCAGTGCTCCTGGGACCCAGCATCCAGCCTCAGCATCCTCCCCCGGGGCCTGAGCCTGCCTCAGGCTCCTTCCTTGGCCCACCGTGTAGGCAGGAACACCCAGGCAAGAAGGCACCGGCCGTGCCCCAGACATGGAGCAGCAGAGGGACAAGGCACAAGGGATGAGTTCAGAGATGCCTCCACATTGGGCCCAAGAGGCAGGGCCCCGGTGAGGGCCTAAGAACACCGCCAGTAGCTCTGGCCCTGGCTGGGGCCGCCTCTGGCCAGAACCCAAGCCCTAGGCAGTGCTGGGAGAGGCTGGAGTGAGGGACAGGGGGGGTATTCTGCCACGCCCATCTGCCTCTGCCCTTCTGCAGGGTGGAGGTGCCCGGGGCCAGCAGGGAGGAGTTGCACATCCCGCGGGCTGGGGGCAGGGTGGAGGCCCCACGGGGAAGAGGGAAGGGGCAGAGTCTCTTATAGTCTGGGAGGAACTGCAAAGATAAAAATAAAATCACCAAAATTGCCTCCTGAGGCCGCGGTCGGGGCCCAAAGAGGTCCGAGCCGCGGGCAGGAGGGGTTGTGCACATGTGCAGCCCAGGCAGTGGCAGGGAGAGAAGGGAGCAGGGGCTGGGGGCGGGGCTCACGAGGGAACCCAAAGGCACGAGTGACACCTGGAGCGGAGGTCTCAACCACAGTCCCACTGATGTTTTACTCTCCAGCAGGGGCTGCCCCATGCGCTCACTTAACAGCTTTCCCGGCCCCTGCCCCCTGCTGTCAGTACCCCACGCATGGGACAACCAGGTGTGGCCAGGTGCCCTACCTCCAGGGGAGTCCCCCAGCTGGCACCCACCGCAGGTGGAAGAGGTAGGAGCAGGTGCCCCGGGAGCCGGGGCCCTGTGGTGCTCTGCCAGCTGCCGGCCTCCAGGAGCCTGGGTCTGTGGCTTCCTGCACGGGCCAGCCAGTCACACCTCCCGGAACCACTGCCCAGCCAAGCTCCTGACAGGGGCTTTGTCTCCAGATGGCAGATCAACTTAGTATCCCGGTGCCGCTCTCACCGGCTGGGGAGGAGCGGGGTGAACCGCAGGGCAGCTACCGTGACTGGGTGGCCCAAGATCCGTGAGCACAGCAGCTGCTTGGCAGCCATGGGCACGGGCCAAGGGCACCACTGGCAAGCAGAGGCCCTGCTGGGAGACTGGGCGGATTGGAGCCCAGACTTGGCACTAACAGGGCATGGTCCCCTCCACCCCAGAAGGCTCCACCGCTGCGTCCTGGCACCTCTGACCGCCCCCCACACCCCCAACATGGGGAAACCGAGACCCAGGAAGGATGCCTGTGATCCTAGCTGGGAGCCTTTCAGGGCCCCCCTGGGCCCTCTCGGGTGACTGGGCCGGGAGGGTGCTCTGGCTGCCCTGGTCTCAGCCCCGACCCCTGGGGGCTGCCAGGAGCCCGAATGCGGAAGCAGGCCTGTACCCTCAATTGTGTAAGGTCCCCTCCAGATCACGGCCAGCTTCACCCTTCTCATCACCCACGGTACACAGCAGTTCCACGAGCCGTCTCCCCTGACGGACAGAGACCCGGACAGGCCCAGCTGTTACCTGGCTGGCTGGCCGGCACGCACAGGGCAGGGGCCCGCCTGGCTCGCTGAGACAACGTGGGGTGAGAAACACAATGCGGTCTGTTCCATCCCAGAGAAACTGCCGGGTAACCCACGCTCAAGCCCTCCCCGAGGGGTGCGCAACTTGCTGAGAACTCAAGCCCGGCCCCAGACACGTTTCTGGAACAAGGCGAGGAGGCCCTACAGCCCCGGTGAGGAGTGGCGTCGCCCTCCACGGGGTGGTGGGGACAGGGGGGGAGGACACCAGCCACCAGGGAGCGGGGCAGATGCTGAGAACCAGCCTCACCCGCATCCGTGGCACTCCGGCCGGGCCCCCCTGCCTGTAGCCCAGCCCTCGCCAAGCCTGGACGCAGGGGCCCACAGGCTGCTCCGGGTCCCCCCCACCCGCTGTCGGAGATCATATGACCCCCCGCACCCAGGAGGAACCTGCAACCACTGGGGGCCGCCGGCTCACGCTAACAGCACCCTGTCCTCAGTGAGCCCCAACCCTCGCCCTGCCAGAGCACCTGCCTCCAACCGTCCTTTCCTCATCAGCCCCCGCTCAGGGTCCCGTGAGGTGCAGAGCCACGGAGCCCAAAGGAGACGAGGGGTCCGCAGCCCTAGCTGAGCAGGACAGCTCGGAGAGCCACTTGAGGCCCAGGCCTGTGGGACCTGCAGGGGACCAAGCTCCATCTCTGGGGACGCGGCCTGGCCCCCTCCCCCAGTCTTCCCAGCGAGGCCCTCCCTGCCCCGCCTTGCAACCCAACCACACCCCACTCCGTCTGGACACTCCCCGCCCCCCAGCATGGTCCTCTTGCCCTCGGTGTGTCCCCACTGAAACAGCCTTAAGGGCGGGGCTGGGCCTCTGCTCACGGCAGCAACCGTTCCTAGGCAGGGGAGGCTGTCATTCCTGCAGGCTTGGCACCAGGAAGGGCCCTCGCCGGGAAGGAGCCACCAGTCTGCACCCTGGGGCCCCCGTGCCTCCCGGAAAACCAGAGGCTGGCACCAGCATCGAACCTAAGACAGGTCGCACTAGGCAGAAGAGGGTCCGGGGCGGTCGGCGACAGCCGCGTTCTCTGAACGTTTATTACAATGGGTCATCAGCGGTAACGGGTGGGGGGAGGAGCACTAGAGTCATTTGCCCTTCAGGTAGATCTTGGGGGTCTGCCAGCCTGCAGGGGCTTCCTTCAAGCCTGCCTTCAGCCAGATGCGCCTCAGGTCTCTCTCGAACTTGATCTGCAAAGGCACAGGGGAGGGACCACTGACTGGTTTGTGGCACAGTCACGCATTCTCAGCCTCCTTGCCGGGCCCTAGGCTGAGAGGCCCACACTCACCTGCTTCCGTTTCAGGCGCCCTTCCCGGACCTTCCGCCGCAGGAACCGGGTCCTTTTGACCAGTTTGCGGTACTTGTGGTGATTCATCTTCCGCCGGCGGATCTTCAGCACGTTTTTGCACTGCATCCGGGGTGCGTCCCAGGCCCCCACATCCCCCTGCTCAGCCCGTTCCCCCACTTGGCTAGGCGGACACTCATAGAGTCGGGCTGGAGCCACGGTCGCTGGGCCTCCAGCAGCTAGTCTGGGTAGGAGGTAGTGGGCGGTCAGCCAGCTCTCCAGGGGACTGACGGACATCTTTCTGGGGACCAGCATCTCCTCAAGCTCCAGCTGGAGCCCCCTGCCAGGGATGGAGGCAACTCCGCTTGGGCCTGTTGGCTGTGTGCTGTAGCAGGGCCGACAGGCACACCTGCCTAGCACCCCTGAGACGGGCCAGGGCCGACCGCAACCTGCAGGAAACAAGATGACACAGTTACCACTCAAGCAGCCACACTAGACCTGAGCATGGCCAATCCCGCCTCACCGATTGGGCAGCAGAACTGTCATCACAGACTAGGATGGCCTAGTATGCCCAGTGGAACTCCTGCTGGCTGTGCTCAGGCCCAGACTTCCCCTTTTTTGTTACTTGGATGTTTACAAGGGAGTCTGTGTGGCCAGGCCCCGGCCTCAAGCTGGTGAGGCTCTGCAGGTGAGGCAGTTGGGACTACCTAGCCTCACATTCCTAATCCAGGTGTGTATCCTGCCCATCTGCCCTGCCCCCACGGGGCCGCTTACCTGCCCGAGGAACAGCCCTAAGCAGCTGAGAAGTCAGGCGCACCAGGAACATGGTCTGTGGGTGGTGGCGGCCCCAGGTGCTCAGGGTGGCTGGAATATAGGTAGGTGAGCGTGGAGGTCACGCGGGAGTGGCCGGGAGGCGCCGGCAGCGGCCCCGGTCAGACCAGGACTCCCGGCACCCTCATCACCCTCTCCCACGATGAGGATGCCACTTCAAACAGGGCTCACTCCCTCAAACAGCCAGCCTGGGGCACAAACCCCGCTCCGCAGCTGCGCGACTCTGGGCAGTCACCGACTCTCCCCGAGCCTCCGCTTCACCCCAGGGACCCACCAAGGGGGCGGAGTCGACGCTCGGAGGCACGGAAGCCGCGCGTCCCAGGCCCCGAGGCGGCGGTCCCCGTCCGGCCCCAGCCTCACCCGACCGCGACCCCCCGCAGCCGAGGGCTCGCGCCGAGCCTCCCCACACCTAACCCGGGTGGACTGAAACTGACCACTCTGCCGCCGAGTTTGGGCACTTCCGGTCCGTCCCTAAACCGGCCCCCAGCTCCGCATGCAGCCGCCAGGCCGTACCCACTCCCAGCGCCCCCTGGCGGCGTCACGGCGTCCCGCTCCGCGTCGGCCCAGGTCCGGCCGGGCCCAGAAGGCAGAGGTTTCCGGCCAGAGGAGCGGCCTGCCCCGCCCACAGCCCGCAGGCTCCGCCCCTCTCTTACGTTAGCGAAAAACCACATTTCCCACAATCCCAAGGGATGCCCTGTGCGCCGGCCTGGCCCGACCTCGCTTTAGTTCCGGATTTACTTCCGCTTTACTTCCGGTTGAGCCGGCGGCCCGGCATCGAGGGCGGGCGGAAGTGGCGTTGGCCCGGCGGCGGAAAGAGTTCTCTGGACGACGGAAGTGACCCACTGGGGTTGTAAGCGAAGGGCTCCGGCCCCTCCTACCTCGCAGGGGTAGAGGGCGCCGTGCCGGGTGCTGGGGCAGAGCTGGGGCGCCCGGTCCGCCAGGACTCCGGCGGGGCTGCGGTCCCAGCAGCCTCCTCTGCCCACGAAACTGGATCAGTGAAGGCGGCCGTGCCTCTTAACGCGGGAGAGCACGACGCCTTTTGCTTAGGGGGGATACGTATTTCTTCTTTTTTGAAAGCCGACTCCCCTCCTGTGCCGTGGGAAGAAAAGTTAGAAACTTTAGTTCTTGCCGAAAACCGAAAGCGGCCTCCGTGGATTGGGTTCCGCCGCGCCTCGGGGTAGGGGGCTGCCGGGGGGGGGGGGGGGTTCCGTTGTTCTCACTGAGGTTGGCAAGGATGGACAGGATCCCCATAGTGAACCTTCAGGGGGCCAGGTAGGAGAGGGGCACGGGGAGGAGAGGGGCACGGGGAGGGGGGTTGGCCCTCGGAGTCCCTGGATCTGCTCCGAAGTTTGCCCCTGCAGAAGGAGCTCCCAGCGGGTCTCTGCAGGAAGCGGCCAGGCCGGGTCATCCCCCTGCCCCAACCTGGCGAAGCATTGAGTGGAGGAGAGGCCAGCGGATGGCAGAAACAGGCCCAGTTCCGTGACAGCGGCGGCCAGAGGGGTCACGCGGGTTCCCAAGTAGGAAGGTCTATTGACATACCCCCACGCACCCACAGTGTGCCTCACTCCAGCTGCACAGCCTCCTCAGGCATTCACGATTTGGTCATCAGGGCGAGCCTCCGGGACCCTAGGTGCTGACCCTGCCACCTCCACAGCTCCTGGACTTGCCTGACTTGCGGGCACCTTTCTCCAGGGCCAGTGACACTAGGATGGCCATGTCCAGTTGCCTCACACCCACCTGGAGGTCCTGGTTTGGGAAGATGCTGGGACTAGGACAAGCCCCCAACAGCCCTCCCCATCCTTACAGCTCAGACAAGACTGGGAAACAACCCCAAGACCTTCCCTGCTCACCAAACCCCTGTTCTGCGGGACACCCCCCAGGTCTGATGCTCCAAGTGCCTGCCTGGTTGCCACCAGCCTGACGCACACAAGCTGACCTTCCAGAGCAAGAGGACTCCAGAAGCATTTTGTTCTTTTCCAACCTTCCCTTTTTGGCCCCCAAGGAAGCAGCCTTTGTCAGAGCAGAGATGGCTCAGGTTCATGACCAGCCTTCCAGGGAAGACCAGCTGCACAGGAGCTCAACAAGAAATGCAACACCGGAATGAGATCAGAGCCGGCAGCACAGACACACCACGAGGACGGTGCCGCAGGCCGTGCACGGGGACAAGCAAGCAGAATGACAAACTACACGTTCTTCAGCGTCCAAATGTCCTGAGTAGAGAGAATTGTTTATTTAACCACGTAAAATGCATATATAGGAAACTTCTCTATTTAGGAGCTGGTGGCCTGCACTCAGCATCGCACAGATAAAAATATACGACTTTCAACACAGATCTAAATACCTTCACATTTTAAAAATCCGAATTCTCTACACAAGTTTTAAGCTGACGGAATTCAAGTTCTGAGTTTTCATATATAGCTTTAACTTGTATTAAACACATGTTTATTTACAAGGTGGATAGAGAATAAGGGGCTATTAAGGCCATTTTCTCATTGTGAAACGCTGCAAAATATGTACATAAGTACAACCTAATATAGGCAAAGATTCTAATAGTCATTTTCTTGGTTTAACGTAATTCAGTATCGGTACGGGAGTAAAGACACAGCCTGTCGTTAGCACCAAGCCACACCACCAGGACGTCCACATCCAGCGGCCACGGGGCTGCTGCTGAGGTGGGCCCTGTGCCGGCACAGCTGTGCGCCGTGCCCAGGCCGGCCTAAAGGGCACCTCGCCGGCCTCTGGATTCCATCTCCAAACTCATCACAAGGTCCAGAGTCAACAGCCGCTTCCAAAAAGAGTCTCACCACAGGGCCAGTCACACCGGGGTGTGCACACCAAGGGTCAAAGGGCAGCGCTCTGGGAGCCCCACGCCTCACCTCCGATGCCTGCTGTGCCCAGGGTGATCCCGCTCGTAGCGATGGCCTGTTCGCTCGTAAGACCGAGACCGCTCCCTTCGCTGATCTCTATAGTAATGACTTTTCTTCTTGTATTTCCCAGAATTATCTGGCCGCTCCCGTGAGCGGCTTCGAGAGCGAGAGGAGCTCCGGCTCCGGGACTTGTGTGGCTTCTGGGCGGGGTACTTGCAGTCCTTAGACTTCCGATAGCTCCTTACCTTGGAGCCTTTGTAGGGAGCGCCTCTGTGCGCCTGTCTCGGTGGGGAGTCACTCCTGCTCCGTGAGCGGCTCTGCGACTTGGACCCGCCAGACGTGGAGCCACTGTCACTTTTCCTGTTAGGAAGGACACCACCACCAAGCAGATGACCACTTGCCCCAACCACCTCAGGGTCAGGAGTGACTTTCCCGAGGGGCAGCCACACCCCCTCTAGCCACCCTGGGGAAAACACCACCCTTGCCAGGTGCAGGTCCTGGATGGGCCCTGCGCAGCACATACCTCCTCTTAGGAGAAGCAGATCGTGACGGGGACCTCGAGTAGCTCTGCTCACGACTCCCGCTCCGGCTTCGGCTCCCTCGCCCCTTTGGCAAGCTGAGGACACAGGGAGAGCAGTTACAGACCTGAAGTCCTTCCGGCCGACCCCAACAGCCTGCTGGGTACTCACCCGTTGACCGGGCTGTCAGCCTTGGCTTTCTTCATGCCCTCCATCTTCCTCTTGGCGTTCTTCACAGACAGGGGGGAAGGCTTGTTTCCTTTACCTTCTTTGGGGGATTCTGCTAGAAAGAATCAAGAAGTTTCTTATCAGAGAGGGGCACCTGGGGAGCTCGATCGGTTAAGCGTCAGACTTCGGCTCAGGTTATGATCTCGTGCTTCAGGAGTTCCAGCCCAGCGTCGGACTCTGTGACGTCAGCTTGGAGCCTGGATCCTGCTTCGGATTCTGTGTCTCCCTCTCTCTCTGCCCCTCCCCCACTCACACTCTTTCTCTCTCTCAAAAATAAACATAAAAAAAAAAAATTTAAGGGGCACCTGGGTGCCTCAGTCAGTTAAGAGTCCGACTGGCTCAGGTCATGATCTCACACGTCATGGGTTCGAGCCCCACGTCAGCCTCTGTACTGACGGCTCGGAGCCTGGAGCCTGCTTCGGGTCCTCCGTCCCCCTGTCTCACCGCCCCTCCCCCACGCTTGTGTGTCTCTGTGCCCCTCTCTCAATAAACTTAAAAACAAAGTTTCTTATCAGAAAACCGTTCTAACAAGAAGCACACTAGCAGAGCAAGACAACACCACTTCTGTGGGACTTGTGGAGACTCCCCGTTCCCGGCCTGGGACTCAGAACCTAAACACGCACCTGAAAGACACAGAAAGGCCACCTGTCTCACTTGACTTCCCTTAGGGACTAGGGATGTGCAGCATGCTTAACTCTAGGTAGGCCCCGACAACAGAATCTGCTGCTCCAGATTTATGCTGTTTTCATCAAGAGAGTAGCTAACTAGGTGGGCTGGATAAACAAATGCATTTTGGAGAGCGTGCCCACGTCTCTTGCTAATAAAAACGTAAGGAAGGAAGGCGCCTGGCTGGCTTAGTTGGTGGAACGTGCAGCTCTTGATCTCGGGGTTTCAATTTCAAATTCCACGTCGGGTGTAGAGATTACTTCAAAATAAAATCTTAGGGGCACCCGGATGCCTCAGCTGGTTAAGCATCTCACTCTTGATTTTGGCTCAGATTATGATCTCACAGTTTGTGAGTTTGAGCCCCACATCGGACTCTGCACGGACAGCCCAGTCTGCTTGGGATTCTCTCTCTCTGCCTCTCCCCAGCTCACACACACGAACTCTCAAAATGTATCAATAAACATTTAAAAATCAATTAGGGGTGCCTGAGTGGCTCAGTCGGTTGAGCGTCCAGCTTCGGCTCAGGTCATGAGTTTGAGCCCCACATCAGGCTCTGTGCTGACAGCTCGGAGTCTAGAGCCTGCTTTGGATGTTATGTCTCCCTCTCTCTCTGCCCCTTCCCTGCTCACACTCTCTCTCACTCTCAAAAAATAATAAACATTTAAAAAAATACTAAAAATAAAAAGTAAACATTAAAAAATTACTTTTAATAAAACAAACTAAATCTTAAAAAGAAGACATACAAGCAACGAAAACTCCTTTAGGAGCACCCCTCTCATTTCATATGGCACCCCAAACATATGCTGGGGACCCTGGTGCCTACAGACTGCTCAGGCCAGCAGCAGACACAGTTCTAAGAAATCTGGAGGAAAGGAGGGCCACACACCCCAACACTCACCCAGCTTGGGGGCAGGTGAGAACCCTGAAGTGCTGTCCAGGACCTGGGTGCCAGCAGGCAGCAAGCCCTTGGCCTGTGCCTTGGCCTCTTCGATGGCGTGCCTTCTCTTCTCCACTTCGCTTTCAAGGTGTGTCAGATCAACCTATGAGAGTCAAACTCCATTTACTCAGAACCAGATACCTCTAGTCAAACACAAATGCGTATGTTACATGGAAAAATATAGAACCTTTTTCCGGGTATAAAGCTGCAGG